GGGGGGGGGGCAGAGATAGAGTGGGGTCTGCATCTGGCTTTTTCAAGGCGCAGATTGTATGACTACACCACACACACGTAGTCACCAGCACCCACTGATGACGTAAGATGCAAGACACTTTGCTTAACTCCTGAAGTGCACATGTGCAGTCATGTAGCTGGAGTGAGGGCAGAATTCTCACAAGGACAGATTTTTATCTTTACTTGTGAAGATGCATATTATTCAAAAGCAGGAGAGAAAATCACAGAAAGAGGAGCAAATACTTTCTTTTGCAGAACCGTCATTGTGTGTAATAGTGCCAGAGACAACGCGGCAAACCAGAGACTAGAACTGGAAACTCACATTGCCTTTTTAGAAACAAGGGTTTCGAGTGATTCTTCCATTTTCTGTAGTTGTCACTGGATAATATTGAGTTGGATTAGATGTACCCTTAGAGTATTATAAATGGACAATCAACAAATAAGTAGGGGAGAATATTTCAGAGAAATTGTCTATGAACTTTCTTTAGGACTCTTTAAAGTGTGTTGAATTATAAGTGTATGGTAGACAAAATGACTTGTCTTTTTCTTATTTAACATTTTTTATTTTACATACCGACCAGTTTCCCCTCCCTCTTCCCCTAGTGTTCCTCCCTCCCCCGACATACACACTCCCTTCTACCTCCTTCCCCATCCTCTCCTCCTCAGTCTCCATTCGAAAAGGGGCAGGCCTCCCTCATGGGCTTGAACAAAGCATGGCACATCAAGTTGGGTAGGACCTAACTCCTTCCCCAGCATCAAGGCTGGGCAAGGTAATCCAGAATGGGGAACAGGTTTCCAAAGTGCCAGGGACAGGTCCTGATCTCACTGCTAGGAGCCTTACAAACAGACCAAGCTACACAACTGTCACAAACATGCAGAGGGCCCAGGTCAGTCCCTTGCAGGCTCCCTAACTGTTGATCTAGAGTCCATGTGCTCATGTGTGCTGTGGGATGTTTTGTATGCTGTGAATTTGTTACTCTGTTGGTTGATAAATAAAAAGCTGATTGGCCAGTAGCCAGGCAGGAAGTATAGGCAGGATAAACAGAAAAAGAGAATTCTGGGAAGAAAAAGGCTAAGTCAGGAGACACAAACCCACCAAACAGGGAGCAGCATGTAATGGCACACAAGTAAAACCACAGAAAACGTGGCGACACATAGATTAACAGAAATGGGCTGAGTTTAAGTGTAAGGGCTAGTCAATGATCAGCCTGAGCTAATGGCTGAACAGTTTTAATTAATCTAAGCCTCTGTGTGTTTACTTGGGTCTGAGCAGCTGCAGACTGGGTGGGACACAGGAAAACTGGCTACACACAGGAGCTCAGGTCAGCTTCTCTATGGGTTCCCCCATCATGACATTGACCCACCCCCCACCCCTAGCTCATACAATCTCTCCTCCCTTTCTTCAAGACTCCCATAGCTCAGCCCAGTGCTTGGCTGTGGATTGGCCAAGTCCTGGGATAGTTGGCTGTTTCACTACTGTCCAGGCTTTGTGGGACCTTCTCCGGTTCTAGGAGCTAGGAAAGTGCAGGCCTACTTGAAGCAGTCTGTTAGGTTGGAACTCTGGGGCTAGCCACTTAGAGGGTGTCCAGGATACAGATTGAGGAGACACCTGGACTTGGCAGGATGCTAGCAGAGCAGAAGATAAAGTTAAGAAGTTTAAGGGGAAATTTGTTTCCTTAGGCCCTGGTAATTGAGGTAGGGGAGTCCAAAGACCAGGGAAAGGTGGGACAATCCCACCCTTAGGAACAGGTGGTGGAAGTTACTTGAGGCTAATATCTCCCTAAAAAACTTCTTCCAAGTCCTAAGTCATTCAAATGGAATTGTTAGAAGCTATTTCACATTTAGAAACCAAGTGTGAATTTACAAAGGCACTTACCAGATTACTCTTTTGCTGTCTTTGATAAGAACAAATTTGCAGCTTGCCTTGAAGTTCCATTTACATATTTCTAGTAACTTCCAAAGTGTGAGCATCAGTTTACTAAAAAAATCCAGTTATCGATAGATTCAGCCTTCATGCTGTTCTTATGTGCCAATCACAGTTATATTACTGTGACAGTTCTTGAAAGAGCAAGGTAGATAAGGTAGACAGACAGACAGACAGACAGACAGAAATTAATTTAGCATGAGGAATTGGCTTACATATCAAGACTTATCATCTAGCCACAGTAGGCTTGAAGACTAGAAAAGCTTAAATTCTAGTTCAAACCTTAGGGACAGAACCAGGGAGACTGGCCAGAGTCTGAAAGCCTGAGAACTAAGAAAACTAGAAGTGCTGATGTCCACAGATATGATGCCATGCCTGCAAACTACTGACAGGCCGGTAACCTGGGTAATGGGGGAAAAAATCATGAAAAAGGCAGGAGTTGAGCTTATTAAATTCAGCTGTACAGCTACAGTGGGCGTGACAGTAAAGAGAAAGGCTTTCAAAGGCTACTTTAAGGGGAGGGTGTTCTACAAGGGCATTGCAGTTGTTCAGTGTCAAGGGACTCAGAACAGTCACAGCTGGGGCCTAATATGGCTAACTCCAAGGTAAGAGCAGTCCTGCTTGGAGACAACTGTGTTGAGTGCAGCGTCCCTGAAGATCCCAGTGTCTTGTTCTCAGGCTAGAGTAACTCAGCACAGTCTTCAGTCACCCCAGAATAATATCCACACAAATGTTGCCTTCTCTTTCCATCCAGGTTCTAACAGGACTGGATGGCCTCGCATCACAGAGGGTACCTTTACGATTAGTTTATCTTCCAGAAACAGAGATATACCCAGGAATAATGTTTTACCATCTGTTGTGGATCCCTTAGCCCAAAGCGACCCAAAATTTAACCATCATACTAAGATCTCCATACCATACATTTTTAAAGTATCTGATAGCTGTGGTAGGCCGCCTTGGGGCTCAAGGGAAGCAAGTGCACGTGGGACCTAATGGCAAACTACGTCAGGACCATTAACCTCCCTACTTTATCACGAGACAATCAGGCAGCGAAATTAAGTTCAGCAATATAACTAAACATTTATTAGAGAAAATTAGTATGCAGTACAAACTGGATCACACAGTCTGGTAAGCTCAGTGCCTGTCCCAGTCCTGTGTTCTAATATAGATGCTTCAACTACAAATTACAATTACAAAAAATTACCCAGACAAATGCAACAATATCCTGAAGACATAACAGTTAAAAGTTTACCAAATATTACAACTTAAATATAAGGGAGAAGCCCCCCCACTCCCAAATGTTTTAGGCAGTTCTCATATACTAAATAGCATTAAAGCCAACAGTAACCAATTTCTTATTACCCAAGGCTTAGGACGAAAAGGAACAGCTTCCGAAGTACTTGGAGTGGCTGCTTTGGGACTGCTGCCTTTCTGAATAAATGCTACCTATCCAACAATAGACGATAAATATTTTTAAATAGCATATTTTAAAAACAATGTTCAAAAAGTAAGCTTCACAAAGGTAATTCTTTTTGTTGTTATTTACTGATGTGTCCAAAATGATGCCTAGTTAATAATGAGGGGCCCAAATACCTGCTGGATGAGTAAATTCCACATAAATTTCCCTTAAGTACTTAAGTTACAGGCATTATTAAAATATATATATTATATATCATTTAGTTACAATCATATTAATTCAAGCATTAAATACATGCTCAAAAGGCATGGTGCTATTTTAGGGAGGTCAAGGCTTAAGGAGAGGTTAGAGGTCTGGAATTCGGCAGCTGGAAATTCTCTTTATTCAAGAAGTCTGTAGTATTCAGGACTCGCTCCAGAGGCCACATTCTTGATGTCTCAGTGAAGCAGTCTGTAAAAACCAAACGTGGTTACCATTTCCTTAATCTGCTTATTTTGACATTTAATGCCAAACTGAACATCTAAATTGATAGTCGTATGTCTATCCCTACATAATTTACATTGATAAGGAAAAACAAAAGGCCTACACCATACCTAGAGGTGCAAATCAGAACATTCAAAGTAAATAAAAAAATTGCTGTTCTTGAAATGTCTATCTCTACCAAAATGGCTTAAAAAAATTCCTATCCTTTCACCACGCTATCAACCCCATCTAACCCTTTCTCTGCCTTCTAATACACCACCCAATCAAGAGAGAGAGAGCCAAAGAAGCTTAAGATATTCCATTCTTTGACAGATGTAGGAATAGGGATACTTTGGAAGATAATAAGCATATCTGCATAAATTTTATGACAAGGTTTGGCCATGGTAGGGTTACTTTTGGCTAACTGTGTTTTAAGCACGTACACAATTACCCAAATCACATTCAGATATAATCACATTTGTTACACCCTACTAATTACTTACTATGGATTCTAACAATAGATAAAAGTTTCTAGAAGTTAACTTCGGTTACTTCGTGGTGGTTCAAGAACTCAAGACATAGCAAAAAACAAAACACCTTGGGAAGTCAACGTTCCCGAGTGCAAAGGAAGGGGAAGTGCAACGTTCCCTCCCGTGCAAAGGAAGTCCATCGTCGCTCTTTCTCCCAACTCCACCACCCGACTCCGCCAACGCTAGCTTCGGAGACACTCACCAGGGCAAGAGGTACACGAAGATGAACAACACCAGGTCGAAAAGGAGGAAGAGCCAGAGATCCAGCCAGTAGGAGTGTTTCGGGAGCCCGTTCGTCCCGGACTGAGGTCGCTCATCTCGGTTCTGCTCCCTCCTTCCCGCTCCGCCCGAGCCTCCCCGCTCGCGGACACCATCGGTCCCCGTCGCCGCCTGGCTCCCCTCCATCTCCCGCCCGCTGCAGCTCGGCGCCCCTGAGAGCCGCGCGGCTCCGCACTTCCGCTATGGCCGAACCAGGAGCCGACTACGGTCTGATCGTCACCGCGCGCGCCTCAGCCTGGGCAACCAACTCCGGTCGGCCACGCCCACCACGCCGGCGCCCCGCCCCGCCTCC